AGAAAAATCATACTCAACGTTATGTTTAAAAAAATTTCAATCATTATCAATAAAAATGCATTTAAAATAAGAAAATGCACTCATAAAAAACTAAAATTTGAATTAAAAAATTAAAATGTGAATATTTTAACTCATAGTTAAACTAAATTAAAAACTCGTATATCTTCAAGCCGAAAACATCATGTGTACAGGTGTTAACTATAGACATGTCGCCCATAGATGATACCCGTACACACAAGTAGTCATGAGAATGTCGCCAATAAAAGGCACTTTTAGCGAAAGGGTTGTATGATAAATTCGTGATAAGTGTAATAATAAAGACAATAATTCATTCATATCACTACTAGTGAATTTTGTTTATATTTGCTCACTTTAATTCCACGCTTTAGAAAAATACCTTCTGTGTTAAAATAGAGTAATGACTCAATTTTTTTTTAGCCCTATAATACAACCAAAATTATATTTTGAAAAAAAAGTGTTCATAAGGCACGAACGCTTAACTTTTCTAGAATTTCTCTAATTTTGTGTCCAAGTCCGTCTAGTCATTCTGGATTTATCATGGCCAATTAGTTTAAATTTGCTTCATGCACATGTATTGGCGAAACGAGAACACTGATTGAATTGGTCGTAAATAAGGCATCAAATTGGTATCAAATCAATAAAGTAATTAATCTTTGATAGTAAAATTTATTATATTGAATTTATATTCTATCAAAGTTTTGCTGTACGCACTATTGAAAGTGCGTGAATTATTGATTTTGAATGAATTACACTTGCAAAAGTAGTGTTAATTCTAGGTTTTTTTTTTTTTACTCCAATTTGTCTAATATGAAACCTTCAAATAATTTACCATTTTACTATGATGAAATGTGCGAACTTTTGATGGGACTTGCCAACATACTTCACATCATTTTTTGTAAAGCTTTAATCAGTAGTTAGTTGAAGTCGAGTTTGTGTTTAATAGATTTATTAAAGGATTTATTAAAGTAGAGCAATTTTTAAATTCATATATTACCAAATAGTGATTTTTAAATTCGGAGCAATTGTGGCTTTTTACTATAGTTTAGGAATATTATTCACGATTACGGTTTTAGAATTAAAAAAAAGTTTAAAAGAATATAATTAATAAATTTAATCACAATAATTCATAAGTACACCACGAAAAACTACCAGATCACCCAAACAATATTTAAAAAGAATTAAGCGAGGAATCTCCTACTAAAAGATCATCTTATAAGAGATAATCTCTTTAAGTCCATTTACAACCAGCATATTGTCTTAAAAAATTATATTATTTTGATAGGCAATATGTCTATGCAATAAAAAAAATTGATAAGTAGTCACAGTTTGACCAAAGCTTTTGGTGGCATGAAAAAGCTCACAACTTTCAAACTAAGCGAGACATTTTGATTGTCTAGTTTTTTGATGGTAGTTACTATCAATACTATCACCATGTTTGGCGTTGAGTTCTGGGACAGTCTGTATATTTGTAGAAACTGCATATATCGGATTAATTTATTATATCAATATATTTTTATACATTTATTCATTATGAGTTCATTACAATATTTAACAAATGTATACATTATTAATTTAACAAATTTGTTTTAGCTCGATAAGTTGTGAAAAATCTTTGTTAACCGCATAAATTATTGAACTCGTATAAATTAATTTATAATTGCAATTTCACAAACTATTAAAAAATTAACATTGAGCATGTAGAAATATCGTTCGGTTTTGAAATGCTCGGCTGCAATCACGTATCGAAAAAAAATTTCTGCAAAATTATACCTTTTTGCGTATGTCGACCGGAAAGATAATCGAAATTTTTGTGTATTTCTAAATGCAAGTTCATTAGCCGTGTTAGTAATTTTTCTTCTATCGAAATGCAAATTGCACAAACAATGCGAAAGCAAGGCCGTTCGAAGCAACGAAAGGGAAAACTGTATCTAAACTATAAGATTATGTGCCTACACATTTATATTTTGTTCCAATATAAAATAGATTCATAAGCTCAATACAGAGACAAATGTCCAACGTCGTTCGGCCGATGCGCGACCGACGACCACCGATCAAGGATGGCAATTTATTGATTGATTATGGATTAATCAATACATTTCTGAGACAACTAGTGGTGGTATGGTATTGAGTTAAGTCAAATCAATGTAACTTTTCTACAATCAAGTAGTTATTCAGAAAATCATATTAACCAATACATTGAAATTACAAACTTGCAAAAATTGTAAAAATAAATTTTACGTTACGTTTATTACCTTTTAAGGTACGGCGCGCAATTCTCGTATAAAATAGAAATGTTATATTACAAGTTTACGGTCGTATGAGTTGGTAGTCATGAATTGCTAAAAAACTATGACTTCGTTGTGCGATTAAGCATTTTGTTCTAAATCTACTTGTAAAACCTAACCTCCAAAAGGCACAAATGTCAAAACAATTTTATTATATATATAATATATATAATATATATATATATATATATATATATATATATATAGAGGTAGTCCTTAACATGGACGTGGACTTCCAAATTGATAAAAAAAATCTCTAAAAGTTTTAGCTCTTAATACTAACTTTTAGATAGTGCACAATTCAATCAGAGCTTCGTTTAGAAATAGCATGGAAAAATTTCCAAAATTTTAAAAATGTTTTTTGGTATAACTTAGTGACAAATAAATTAAAAGTGACAATTTGTGTCATCGTTTATCGAAAATTTGACGCTCTACAAAACATGTTTTTTATAATTTGTTTTGTAGAGCGTCGAATTTTGAATAAAACTCATTAATTTGTTTGCTAAGTTATATCTAAAAACAGACTTAATTTTTTTTTTAATTTTTCCATGCTATTTCCATATAAAACTTTGATTGAATTGGGCACTATCTAAAAGACAATATTAACAACTAAAACTTATTGAGAATTTTTTTTTATTGATTTGGATGCATTTGAGGCCGTGAGAGCAAGGAAATTCGAAAATGTCCATATTAAGGACCACCCTCATATATATATTATATACATAACGATTGTAGGTGAAACTTTCTGATGTCACTTTTGTAACATATAACTAAAGTCTTACCAAAGTTTGAATTTCTGCTACTTCCCCATATCGTAATGAAACATTCAAACATTTTTAAATGTGTTTAGTTTGAATTAAAATTAAAATTCGAATCATTTTAGATATTCGAATTTTTATATATTTTTTAATATATAATTCTTTTTTCTGTAATTTTGTAAAAAAATTGTTTTTTTCCCCAAAAACTGATCATTTCTTCACACTGCCAACTCTAACAAAATGTTTTTTGAATTATTGTAATTGGATGCTCCGTTCGTTTAAAAACTGCTAATTTTTGCACTTTTTACTCCGTTTCAAAAAATCTATCAGCATGTCTCCCTATCAATACTAATCAAATACTTTTGAATCATTCTAATCGGATGCCTCGTTCTTGCAAAAACCGAACCATTTTCTGCTTTTTCTGCTCCAATTCTCGAAAACGGTTTTACCCGTGTTTGTCAAAAACTAATCAGCGTATCTCCCTACTAATAGGAATCGAATGCTTTTTGAATAGTTTAAATTAGTTGATAAAAAATTGTATATGCATACATACAAAAACACACACATATCCTTTTTTACAAGGTTTGTCAAATTGTTCAGAAACGTAAAGAAAAGATATGCAAAAATTTTCATTTTTTGATTTTTGGGCGACTACTGTAACTAACCCTAGCCTTGAGGGATGTTAATAAAATTATAGTACTAGAACTTATTATTTTCACCCCTGTTTCTCTTTGATGTAGATTCGAATAGTACAAATTCATAAATAACAATTATAAACCTTCAGGTCATGAGTTAAATACAATACGGAGCTATATTTGAATTTAGAAAGGTTATTCGACACGAAAATGTAAATTTCTTGCAAATGTAAAGTATTGGAATTTTGATTGTCTTTGTTGTCACTGGCTGCACCATTCATATATATGTATATATGAAATGATATTTAACAATAATAATTACACTCATAATAATTGCTAGTAGGCGCATATTATTTCTAAAGAATTTTTTTTGAGTCTCATTTTAATACCTAACTTTGTAAATTTTGTATATTTAACTATTATTCTGCAACGTTTCAGAATGCTATGTAGATTAAAATAAATGTAAAACATTTGCTAATTAAAAGAACAATATGTAATAAGGAGGAGTTCCAAAAGGTTAGGGGGCGTCCATTGATCACGTGATCGATTTTTTAAGGATTTTTTGACCTCCTTGGTGATTTAAGTAAAATTTATAAATGTAATTATAATATAATTATAAATTTATAAATCATAAATTATGAATCAAATAAACATAACAAATTTTTAGTCAGAGGATTTTTACTAAATAAAAAATTACTAAAATAAAAAATAATTGAAGTGTAGAGACAAAATATTACTGCTAATACATCTGACATATTCTTTATATTTCAAAGTTTTTCACAAATGATTATATCTGAAATATTATTTATTATCGATTATTAATAAAAATAAATCATATAATTCTTATTTTAGTTTACCATTTAATATTTCATAACATTCTGACTCAAACATCATTTTCCAATAAATGTGATTATCATTCGACATGCCATAGACAATGTACTATAAAGTTAATAACTATAATATTTTACAATAAGCCATGATAATAGTTCCTTACAACTAAATAAGGTATAATATCTTTTTGCGTATATTGATTTAATTCAATTTACGCCTATAAAACTAAATAATAAATATTTTTACATTACATATTGAATTATGTTATATGCTTCACAAAAGAAATGATTGGCAAAATGAAAGGCTAAAATAAGAACATGGGTAAAAATTCCATGATTCATATAAATAATTAAAAAATCCATACTTTACGACTTGCATTTGTTTGCTTAAAATTCAGAACAAAACAGGATACTTGAAGAAAATATAATTTAAAAAAAATGGTCAAATATTTTGATTGATTTTCAACATACCTCACTGGATTGGCATTCTAAGTCACCAAAAATTTGATGATGTTCCATAACGGATTAGGTGCATCAAAAATGTTTTGATTGCTATTGATATATGTCCTTCATAATTTAATAGTAAAAACTTCAAGTTAAAATATCTGCCTTATTTGAACTCGTTGTCAGTGGCATTTTGCTTTAAGAAAGTTGCATGAACTTCTAGATAAGTGCAAATAATTGACTTAAGCAATAAGATTTCTGATTTAGCAACTTCTAAATTTTTGATAGAAATTTTATCAATTGTTGTTATAAATGCTTCTAAATGATAAAGATATCAAAATTCTTCGCATATCTTCTGGGTTCCGTTCTATATAACTCAAAATCTTGATCTAGATCAATCACACTTGTCCTCGAAATACGAAAGCTATAAAAGTTTCTATCATAAGGAACATAATCTAGATAATTAGTTGCATTGGATAAATAATTGAGTCATTATTACAGTAGTAATCATAAATATTATAATTATAATTCAAGAAATAATTTTATCACTATAAACTATAATTGATAATTAAATATTAAATACCTTGGTTTTTAATGATATATTACTTATTAGTTGCATTTTTTCAATAAATTGCATGTCATTTAAAATAATTTGTCCATACTACCCAGATTGGTCAGAAAAGGTTCGGATAAGTTTGTGTTCCAAAAATTCTACCGCATTTAATATATTAAAACTAGAAATATTTTTACAAAAGTTGAATAACAAAAGTACATATCAAAATACGGGATTTGAAATAGACACACCCAAAAGCTCTGAAGAAATTGTACAAAATTTTATACAAAACCGAAAAAGACCAGGATACATAAAAATATGAAAAATTTCATACTCATTACCTAATTCTGATCACAAAAATTATATCAATTAAAAAAATATGTTCTTAAAAATATTTAAAACGCATGGTTTTTTATAAATAAATAAAACATTCAAACTTTTAAAAATTAGAAGTATTTGCAATTTTGCTTTAATGCAAGTTTCTGGTGAAAATAGAAACTTCTCCTTCAAAGAATTATATAGGAGGTATGCCATCTGTACCATTGGTCACAGAGCCTAACATTTCAAACTTAAATTAATTTTTTGCAATTTATTATTTCAATCATTCATGAATAAAACAAAGCTTTTACTCATCAATAAATGTATTAGATAAATTATTAGAAAAACGTCTTAATTATATGTTCATATATCATTTATTCATTAATTCTTGAACCGAGTAATTTGAGACGACCTATGTTGTCACTATTGATGAGAAATCGTTGAGCATCGTGAGATAATTCTACTTTATCAATTTGTTTATTAACTATATATATATATATATATATATATATATATATATTTATACTAATAGGTGAGCTATGTAATAATTGCTTATTACATACAAAAGAATTTAATGAACTCAGTTCCTGTATAAGATCACCTTATGATTTTTTTTATGATGGAGCATATAGCTATAGATATCATTGAAGATAAATTATCAACAATATTTACATATTAACTTACACAGGAATATATATATATATATATATATATATATATATTATGGTGGTCCTTAATATGGATATTTTCGAATTTCCGTGCTCTCACAAACTCAAATGCTTCCGAATTGATAAAAATTCTAAGTTTTAACTTTTAATATAAACTTTAAGATAGTCCCCACTCCAACCAAAATTTCTTGGTTCTATTTCCTGAGTAATCACTTATTTTATAAAATATATCAAATTTTTGTGGTAGTTTTTTCAATAATGATCAAAATAAGCAAATACAATGTTATTCTCAAAATTTTTTGTCGCTTAGTTATACAATTCTAAAAATCAAGTGGAATCTTGCCCATATGTTTATATTATATTATATATATATTACTAAAATGTTTTAAAAATTTAAAAAGTAACCAATGTAACTGATTCTACATTTTACTTTTATAGTCACTTCTTATTATTTGACTTTGCCAAATTTTTTTACAACTATATCAAAATTTTGCTGTTGAATAATAAATTTTGATATAAGTTGTTGAACATTTTTACATAAATCACTCTATATTGCTTTTTTATTGATTTATTTGTTAAATTAGTTTTATGTTTTACTTTCATAATTTGTGGGATTCGTTGTGAATGATTATTTATAAATGCTTTATCAAATCTGATTACTTAGGAATCTATGCTAATTAAAAGTCCTCCAAAAGTTATAAAAAACGTATAGGTACCTTGGAATCATGGTTATACAAGATTCATTGTATATACAAATGCAACATATATATATATATATATATATATATATATATATATATATATATTGTACGTGTATAAGTCACTCAACTCCTCCTAAACGGCTGTTCCAATTTCGATAAATTATTTTGGAGTTTATCATAGGATATGAAAATACATACGTCCGAACAGATGTTATTAGATTTATTCAATAAAGCGTTTAATAATTTTTAAATTTAATAATTTAATGGAGTACTTAGTTAATTTTGCAAAGTTCAAAAATAATGTAGAATAGTTGATATAGAATAGTAATAATGAAAACAAATTAAGGAATAAAGTGCAAAGAACCACTTATATTATATGACATTGAAAGAATGTTGGTAAATAACTCCTCTATTAATGTCTATTTAATTAAAATGTACTAAAAAAATAATGTCTACATTATATATACAAAGATTATATAGTAATATATATAAATATAAATAATTTAACTTATGTGGATGGGGTCGCAGATTCAAACCTACGTTCTGTCAAACTGACATCGGGCAGCAGCTATGTCTATTTTCACTTGAAGATATAGATAAAAAATATAATTTTAATTGAAAATAAGCCTATTTTTTGGGTACTGCGGTGTGAAATGGAAATAAAAGATCACACTATTCTTTCCTAAACCGAACTGGAGTTTAATTCAGCTCATGGACTTGCCCCAGGGCAGTCTACTCATTATTTATTTATTATATAAATATTGTAGGTAAAGCATTTATTTTGATAGATGACAGATTTCGAAGTTTCAATCCCGGTAATATTTATTTTTCCATTTTTATGTTCAATTGTAAGTGAAAAAGTTGTTATTGAAAATTTTACTGGATTTTCAGGATTAAATAAAGTACATTTAATCAAGATCAGTTGTAAAATAGTGAAATACTTTTCGATTTCATAATAAAAAACTAGTTGAGTGTCGTATTTTCCCTTAAGGTGAGTTGCAAAAACTCCCCGATAGGTGTAATAATTGACTTAATTAATCGAAATTGAGATTTAGATATTTAGATAAAATTTTCAAATGTTCATTCCGAAAATTAAGTTTTCGCTTTCAATTGCAATTTTTTGATTGTACGGGTTATTTTAAAAAACTTTATTGAACATTTTGCTGAATTGAATTTACCTGTTGAATATGGTTACTTTAGCAAAGTTTCTTAGAATTCGGACAAATGTTCTTATATATATATATATATATATATATATATATATACACTATAGGGCAAATATTTATATATCATCGATGCCAGTATAACTTAGGGTGTGAATATTAAATTGTAAGACGATTTGTGCAAAGATCATTCCGCTTGTACTATAAGTCGCGCATACCTTTAGGATATTCAGACTCCCACACACACCTGAGCGGCTACTTCTACACCTGAATAAATGCAAGAGGTACATGAATCTATAAAGGAATTCTTGAGAACGTCGCCTCGAGCAAAAATACTAGTTTTCTGCGTTAAAGAAAATGTTAAGACGTTCCAAAAGATTTATGCAAATCGGTATACACAAACATAAATAGATAAATATATACACACGTACATATATATACATACATATATATATATATATATACATATATATATATATATATATATATATATGTATATATACAATCAAAACTCGATTAGTTTGAAAATATGGCCTAATGTTTTCACACTGACACAAATTTGCAAATCCCGCAGATAAGGCGAGAAAAGCTTGTTATTTATTGTCTGTCAATGTTAATAATTATAAGTGATAACTTATTAAACTTATCAACAAACTTGTGCACAAGCTTTGTCATATATTCAAGAAATGTATAAGTAATATATTTCCTATTTTGCTGACAAACATGCAGCTTCTGTCGGAGTTTATCTTAAAAGCTCGGCTATTATCGAATATTTTGTATCTTGTGTTATTAAATGATGATATTGGAAATTTTATAATAATGAACGGAAAATATTAAACTAATGGGGCGCATGGCATTGTGCCTTAAGGCAAATTGCAGGAACTTCCCGTACCAAATTTTTTTTTTTTTAAAAAAAGTAAAATTTTTGAGAAAAAAATTACTGTGAAAAACATTAAATTTTTAAGAAACTAAACATTTTTGACAAAAATTTTCTTTTTTTTGAAAAAAGACTTTGAAGAAAAATTTATTTTGAAATATTTTGGAAATTCTGAACTTTTTTCCAAAGCAATCGTACTGCTTTAAGTGCATAAAGACGAAATATCAAACAGCGTAAGCGCCCCGTCGACGTCTAACGCGTAAACATTGTTACAGAACCCATAGGAATGTAACCAAAATTATACTTATTGTTAAAATCTCTATAAAATATCTGATAATTTGATGTGCATATGTCTAATGATCATTTTTGACCGCCAAATGGCTCATTTTTTTACTTTTTTCACCAGATCTCCGAAACCGCTAGACCTGCCTTCATGAAAATTTGATCAGTTCTTCATCTTGTTAATACAAGTAAAATGTTTTTTTAATTATTCAAATCGCATGCTCCGTTCTTCTAAAACTGAGTTACCGTTATTGGAACTTTTTGCCCCATATCTTTGGAACGGCTAGACTTGCCTTCGCCAAAAACTAATCAGCTCGAAATTATTCAAATCGCTTCATCCATGTTCCCGAAATCGTCGACGAAAATTTGTATCCGCACACATACACACACATATACGCACACACAGACACGCATACACACACACACACACACATACATCCATTTTTTCTAAGGTATGCCAAAATATTCAGAAGGTTTTGATACGTAAATTTATATAAAAATTTTCATTTTCAT